ATATTTATTTCTACTGTATAAATATAAAAGGCACTGTTTTTGTATGACAACCCATTGATAAGGATGCCTGCAGCGCGCCAACACATTATGATGTCACGCGCGCCGTTGAGTTTATATTTGTTAAAATTTACAAATTTGCACTGTTTGAATGTTGTCATTTTGTTAGAGAGAGTAAACGTCATGAATAAATTTGACATTAAACATAATCCAAGTTGAAGTGTTGCATCATTTTCAGCCCCCTTTTTGGCATCTGCATTTAGTAGCAGGCCAAACTAACAAAGACCGTGCAGAATAATGTAGTATTTTAATTCCACAGCAGAGAAAGCTACTGTATGTAGTCTCTGTTAGTAGGTCTAAGAATTTTTTATTAATCAGTATTGATATTGGTTATCGGCCAAATAAGTTGTAACATATCGGCATATCAACCAAAAAGCCAATATTGTGCATCCCTACCTAAAGCATTATTCCTTACCACCATATTCACACCACAACCTGTCCAACTATCACAAGATCACAAAAGTAAAGATGTGAATTCATGAGCACATGCTGGTGAACAAGATCTGTTTGCAACAAATTATTGAGCAGCTGTAGCTCGACAACTGCTTCATGCCACAACAACTCCACATTCAAGGAGTCAACATGAATTATCTTTTTGGTCTGGAACACAGCAGCGGCAGTTACTCAGGAGAGATCATTTGCTCAACAATTGGGAGCGAAGATGATCAGGTAAATGTGAAGTTAGAAGGAAATGGGCGCTAGGATGGAGAGGCTGGATCAAGACACATCTGCTGGCTGTTTGCGAGGGGATACACAGCAGCTGTTGCCAGGAGAGAAATGTGTTTCCATTCAAAGCCCCTGAGACAACCACCAGCTTTCCAACAGTAAACACAGTAAACCAACTTGGCGGAGTGTGACAAAAGAATTTTACAACTTTATTCCCTTTTCCTTTCAATTATTTTCTCAGCTACACAGTTCCACACTGGCAAAAACAAAATGTGTGCAGGCGGCAGACGAGTCTTGACCTCAGTGAATAATGCACAACAGCTAAAAGATGTTCAGAGCAGCTGCTAAACAGTGATGAACTGTCAGGGCCATTAAAATATTCAAAGAAAGCCATGAATGGAGCCAAAAAGAAAAAAAAAAAAGAAAACATAAATAATTGTATTATTAAAAAGAATAAAACACCCTGCTTGTCCTAGTTTTTTCACGAGTAATTGCACTTCACTTCAAGCTCAGCTCCTTTACCAGAGGCCGGGGAGCTTGAAGGTTCTGTGCAGTATCTTATTTGTTTCGTAGGACTGCGCTCTTCCATTTAGAGATCTCTGTGGTTAATCCAGGAATCTGTTTGAACTGCTCTTCCAGTTTGGGGGGAGTGGGGACGTCACAGCACCAAGTGCTCCCATGACTCTCCACACTTTCTCTAATTCCTCTTTTGAAGGTGTCTCCTAATGAATCGTCTCAGGGGCATCTTTGCACAGCCTGCATCTTGGGTCCTGTCTGGTAGAGTAGGCCCTGGCTTCTGTTGCCATGATTAGTTCCCCTGTGCTGTGTTTCAGTCCATCCCTCTCTAGCTACTGTTGGAGTTTTGATCAAACAACCAGATTTGAAGTTATAGCCAATAGGCACTTATGTTGAACTACCCCCTTTGTTTTAAGGTATTACTGTAGACCCGGTGGCTGATTTATACTGAAGGTGCAGCTAGTGATGATCTGCTGACTTCAGCTACGTTGAAAACAGCAAGAAGATATAATATAGATGCAAAATAATTAATGGTAGCCTTTTTGTGACAACTGCTCAAGAAAATATTAATTTTGTTAAACCAGAAAACAACAAAAACAAAATGAAAACAAGCAGAACGTCAGTGTCCCCATTGCTGAAGGATGTGAATAGCGAATGCTTGTAGTTTTTGAGATGAGTGTTTCTCTTGTAAGGAATTGAACAGGGATTGCAATTATACCTTAATGTTTTTGGTGCAAGATATTCAAGTGGGGAGGAGTTACACTGTGCATAAGAAGAGTGCTAGGTTTTTTTTTTCTTCTTGTACAAGGTGGAGGAGAGTGATGGATCTTGGTGAGCAATAGGACATTAACAGAGTACTCGAGTAATCTACACATCGATTGCTAGGACATCTATCGAGGTTAAAAATTTAACATCGAGTATCCGTAGTGACGTCATATTATGTGACCACCGTATGACCGTAGGGGGCGGTGTTGCACTGTTGCAGGTCACAGAGTATGGTGTAACACCGGGTCCAACCCACAGAACCAGAACCAGTTTCGGTTTAAGTTTCGTTTTTGACGTGCTGCGTTTCTTCACGTTTGCAGTTTAATAATAATAACTAATGGTTTAGTTTTTCCTGTGACTTATTTGCAGTATGATAAATGGTAGGAGCATAATATATGCTCCCAATGTTTTGTTGGTCTTTTTTTTTGTAAATAATTACCTTTTTTGGCGGTTTTATTTATTTATTTATTTATTTTTGTATCTTGAGATCTATGACGTCATCAAATACTCGAGTTCTACTCGGGTTTTATCATGTTAATGTCGAGTTTAAAAATTATATTCTCGTTCAACCACTAGTGAGCAATGGAAGCTAGTTTATCCACTGCCATGCACAATGACAAAGCCAAGTGCTGACCAATGGTGGCCTTGGCCATGAAAGATTAATCTTCTCCAACTTCTCCATCCTCCCCAATCATTTGAGGAAACTATATTTTAAAGCAATATAAAAAATAAACAGCACTGTTTTCTCAAATGAAAGGGGTGGCTGGTTGTAGTGGCCATCTTGGGTTTTCAAATTGCAACCACATTTTCAAAAGGAACCTGCAGACACCTACCGTAGATGCAGCCACACA